GGGTGCTGTAGGGCTGGGCTGGGCAGCGGGGTTTGGAGCTGGTGTCCGTTGGGGTGGTCGTGGGGGGAGCTGATGGACCAGCACTGAGGTGCAGCCTGGTGGCACCTGGGTGTCCTGTTGTCCCCTGGGCTGGTGGAGCTCCATCTTCTGGGAACATCTGGGGCTTCTTTTTCCATCTCTGTCCCCATCCCCAAGTTTTCATAAAGCCTTGGAGAAGTGCAGACTGCTGAGCATCCCCATCGAGAGGGGCCACCTGGGCTGGGGGGGACCTGAAATCCCAGGCTGTCCCAGCGCATTGGCTGTTGGGGTTCATCCCCTATTTCTTCCAGGCTTTGGGGGGGGTTAAGAGATCTGCCCCCCTCTGTCAACCCCATAGCCTGCATCTGGCAGCAGTGCTGTGGGATGCTGGAGGGGATGGCTGCGTCCCTCCCCGGGACGATGACTGGTTGAACGGGGACAGGTCCCTGACTCTGGGCTTGGGATCCTGCTCAGGATCTTCTCTGTGGGCTTACTGGGCAGGGGGGATGGGACCGAGCCCATCCGGAGCTCAGCCCCAGCATCCCAGGTGGGTTTTTGGGCTGCGGTGGGATTTTTACAGCGATGCTAAATCTTGTGACCCTCGGCAGCAAAAGCGCCTCATTTCTCCCGCCTGGGCGACGTGGAGGTCAACGCGGGGCAGAATGCCACCTTCCAGTGCGTGGCCGCCGGCAAGGCTGCCGAGGCCGAGCGGTTCCTCATGCAGGTGAGCAACGGCGGTGGTGAAACCAGCATCTCCACTGCCAACCCCACGCATTGCTTCTGCTATGCCTCCATCCCTGCCCTTTGGGAGAAGACACTTCTGGGCAGGGGGGAGAAGGGCAAAACCCCCCCGCTTTCAAGCAGATGTCATTTGGGGACATGTTTGGTGGCTCTGGATGTCACGCCATGCCTCCTGGTGACGTCTTGTCTCTCCCCGCGGGGCAGAGGCAGAGCGGCGAGGTGGTCCCCGCCACCTCCGTGAAGCACATCAGCCACCGGCGCTTCCTGGCCACCTTCCAGCTGGACGAGGTGTCCAAGGGGGAGCAGGACCTCTACCGCTGCGTCACCCAGTCCAGCCGTGGCTCGGGCGTCTCCAACTTCGCTGAGCTCATTGTGAAAGGTGGGTGACTTGCTGTTTGTTGCCCGCTGGGTTTCTGGGTCACGCGTGGGCTGTTTCTGCTCCGCGGTTTGCAGAGGAGGAGGAAGGTGGGATGCTCGGGGTGGTGGCATCACAGTTTCTTGCTGGGAATGAGTCGCTACACACAGGTGGTTCGACATAAAACCAGGAAACTGCCTTTCCCGGTGGCCTTAGATCATTTGTTTTTGATTGCAGTAGGTGGGAATTAATTAATTATGGTGAAACTGTGCAGCACCACGCTGGGCAGTGTATCTTATAAAGATAATTAAGGTTTGATCGGATGAAACCCTACTGCAGTTGCTAAAGCCTCGCTAAAAGTGATGGAGGGTGTATGCACGGGCTGAAGACTGGATGGTGCCCTCCCGTGCTTTGGTGTTGATCCCCAGTCCTCTGGGTGGGGGATCCGACTTTGTCCCGTGCCCCGCAGTCTGAAGGTGATGGGTTTGTCTGGGAAGAGACAGCGTGGATGTCTTAACCGTAGCTAGTGAAAAATAAAATGAAATTGTGGTCCCTGTGGTAGTGCGGGTGTTGACCTGGCTCCAGGGCTGGGGATGCTGTGGAGCTGCCTCCGGAGGGGGATGCTCCACCTGCCCCTTCTCTGCTCTTTTCCAGAACTTTTCGCCCCCCCCCAGCTGCGCGGGGCTGGCTCCACCTACCTTATCATCCAGCTCAACACCAACTCCATCATCGGGGACGGCCCCATCGTGCGCAAGGAGATCGAGTACCGCATGACCTCGGGGCCCTGGTCGGAGGTCCACGCCGTCAACATGCAGACCTACAAGCTCTGGCACTTGGATCCGGACACGGAGTACGAGATCAGCGTCCTGCTCACCCGGCCCGGCGAGGGGGGCACCGGCAAACCGGGGCCACCCCTCATCAGCCGCACCAAGTGTGCAGGTGGGTCCCATGCAGCATCCCGGGTGGCCTTCGGCATGGTCCCCAGCTGCCCTGGGTGGGCTTCAGCATGGTCCTCGGGTGGCCCTGGGCATGGTCCCCGGCTGCCCCGAGTGGCCTTGGGCGTGGTCCCCGGCTGCCTTTGGTGGCCTTGGGCATGGTCCTCAGGTAGCCTTGGGCATGGTCTCCAGCTGCCCCGAGTGGCCTTGGGCATGGTCCTTGAGTGGCCTTGGGCATGGTCCCCAGCTGCCCTGGATGGCCTTGGGCATGGTCCTCGGACGGCCTTGGGCATGGTCCCCAACTGCTGGGGTGGCCTTGGGCATGGTCCTTGGGTGGCCTTGGCCATGGTCCCCAGCTGCCCTGGGTGGCCTTGGGCATGGTCCTTGGGTATGGTGGCCTTGGGTATGGTGGCCTTGGACATGGTCCCCGGGTGGCCTCGGGTATGGTGGCCTTGGGCATGGTCCTCGGGTGGCCTTGGGTATGGTGGCCTTGGGTATGTTGGCCTTGGGCATGGTCCCCAGGTGGCCTTGGGCATGGTCCCCAGCTGCCCTGGGTGGCCTTGGGCATGGTCCT